AATACTATCATTTTTATGAGCTTTGTTCTTATTGTCATACCTATGCATTTTTGACTTTTTCTTGTTTTTCATTTTTTATCACGTCCCTTGTATATTTTGGCGAGTGTTCTACTACGAACTTTTTCGTCGGCTTCTGATGCCCTAGTGGCATTTTCCACACTGCTAGAGTTTTTTTGACCATCTACTGTTTTGGGCCCGTTTTTGATTCTGCTTTTTACCACCATGGAAGTGTTTGGGACCGTCTTTTTCTTCGTCTGGTGCCTTGTCTGATCTCCGACGTTGGTTATTATTATATTATATATGCTTATAATCCGTTGAAACTTTTCTCTTACTTACTTACTTACTGCCATTACTCGCTGACGAGTAATGGCATTTGATACGCATCAGTAGATAGTTACGCAAGGCGTTTTCTTTCATGAGCATTTCGGTGACTGAAAAGCCCGATACGTGATGTTGTCCCTCTTCCGCACTCCGGACAACTCTGTTGCCTTTTTACTTTTTAGTTGTTGTTCTTAACTGAGTTTTTACAATTCCTCTCTTCCTCTTCCTCTCTGCATGCTTATCCCTTTTAAGATTTTATGGAAAATATCCTTGCACCTTTTGAGTTGTCCACCCGGTTTTCTTTTACCGTCCACAAGCTCACCATAAAGAAGATATTTCGGTAGGCGGTTTTCTTGCATTCTGCATACGTGACCAGCTCATCTTCAGCGGGACCTAGTAATCATGACTTCAGTGTTCTTGCAGCTAGGTTTTTTAAGGACCGATACGTTTGAGACATGTTCGTACCATTTAATTTTTACCAGTTGTTTAAGGTCTCTGTTGCAACCTATTTAATGCAATTATGGTACATACATACTGCTATTACTCAAAAATCCCATTGCTTTGTTGCCTTTTTACTTTTTGGTCGTCGGTGTTAACTGAGTTTACAATTCTTCTCCATTGCGTTCTATTGTGCGCTGCTTCTTTCCACTCATTCTGCATGTTTATCCCCTTTAAGTTTTCCTGGAAAATATTCTTGTCCTTTTGAGTTGTCCAACCGGTTTCCTCTTACCGTCTAGAAGCTCACCGTAAAGCATAAATTTTGGTAGGCGGTTTTCTAGCTTTTTCAAGGACCGATATGTTTGAGAAATGGTGGAACCATTAGATTCTTAAGAGTTGTCTAGATGTCTCTGTTGCAACTTGTTTAATGCGTTCATGTGTCGGCGGTACGCTACCCAGGTTCCGCTTCCATATAACATGGTGCTGGGGATTATTATTGCTCGGTACACTGCAAGTTTCGTTGCTCAAGTCATGATTGTAGAAAACCCTGTCTTTTAATTTCCAGAATGCTCCTGAAGCGCTGCTAATTCTGTGCTGAATTTCAGAGTCGATACTGGATTTTTGCGAAATCAAACTGCCGAGGTAATTAAGATTTTTATAGCATTGTTATGACTTTCCGAGGGAGTGCACATGATTTTAGTTTTATCGATGCTTAAGACCTAAACCATTTCTTGTAATTGCTGTACGGTTTTTGCAACTAGAGCGCAGTCATCAGCGTATTGGAGTTCTGTGATGAATTTTATACGTATTTTCCATTGTACGTATTTTTTTTAACCCTGAGTCTTTTTATGTTGAACAGACCGCCGGCGCCGTCGTATCTGTATCTAATGCCCATTCCTCTTTCCTGCAGTTTGGGGGAATGAATATGTTGAATTGGAGAGGCGCTAAGACACATCCCGGCCTAATTCCTGTATTTGTTAGGAAGGAATGGCTCAGTGATCCATGATGTGACACACTAGACTTGTTGTTGTTATGGAGGCTTTTACACACTTTTACACACAGAAATTTTTCTCTATCGGCTGCCGCACGGAAAAAAGAGTTTTTCCACTGTGAGATTAGATCATTGTATGATTTTACGTAGCCAGGATAGTTTTTTTCGCCCTATCCACCTGTTTTCTTCCACTTTTCCCTGTATTATGGGACAACACTTTTCCTGTATTATGGCAACAACTGATACTTAGATCCTCTAATTATATGTCCAAAGTGTTCCACCTTTCTCGTCTTTACAGTGTTCAGCAGTGGCCCTTCAGTGTCCATCATGTTGAGGACGTCCTCAATTGAAGTGTGCGAGACTCAAGATACTTTCAGAATCCGGCAATAGCACCACGATTCAAATGCTTCTATTCTATTAATCATTGTGGTCTTTCATCATTAGTGTCCATGTTTCCACGTAGCATCTCAAGACCCTTTTACGGAGATGCGTAGAAAGATATCTATAACAGAACTAGTGTTTATGTTGTAAAGGCTTTGTGTATCTTGATTCGCGTTATCTCTTCATCAGAGTCCGCATTCACATTCAGCCAATTGCATGCTTGGCAAAATGACAAAATAGCAAAATGGGAAAAATTGCAAAATCTTGCCGATTGGCATCCACTTCGTTTTCGTCGTGTCAATTTTGAGGTTATAGACTCTCTGACCATTTGTTTTATGCACTATATTTACTAATATTTGGAGGTCTTCCAAATTCTCAGCTAGAGTAGCTGTATCATCAGCGTGTCTAATGTTGCCCATTCTTACATCTTCTTGTCTGTCATCCAAAGCTTCCCTAAAGTTTCCTTCCGTGTACATGTTGAATTACAAGGACACAACCTTGTCGTATTCCACGTTGAAGCGACAGTTTTTGAGTTTGGTTGTCTTCAATTTGTACGGTAGCTACTTGATTTTAGTATAGGTATTTTAGTAGCCTAATATCATAATTATCTAGCCCTGCAGTTTCCAGAGAGGTTTTATGGAGTCGATGAAACAGAGGTAGACGTTCTTTCGAAATTCACAGCTCTTTTGAAGTAAGACACGCCTACAGAATAAAGCCTCCCCTCACTCCCCTGGTACACAAGCTACTATAATTGTGCTACTATAATTAAACTGTTTGTCACTCATTTCTATAACAGAAAAGGAATATTCGATATTGCATTAATCGAAGAAATATTTCCCAAAAAAGGAAAGTCCAAAATCGCTGCATTTAGTCTTCTCTTATTTAGTAAGACTTAAAACTTTGTAGAGCGATTCTAGCCAATCAAGAGAGATTGATAGAATAGAAAAATAGTAAGCATAACAGTTAGAGTACCAAATGCTTACCAACATATAGAAAAATGGGACAATTAATTAAATTCTATATGCTTACGCAATCCTTTTTTTAATCGCTTGATGTAACAAATGTGAATGAGTATTCGAATGATGTGAATCTGTGTTCGATATTAGTTTTTGTAATAAGCTACCATGTCTACATTTTTTGATGTGATACCAGACTTGTTATCGGCAATTTTGTTTCAGTTGCGGCATTAAGCTGGTATTCAATAGGTATAGAATCGTTATGCTTTCTTGTGAAACTCTTTTTTTTTCTGAAATTTCTCTAAGGCCTTTGTAATGAGCCATTTTGATTACATATCGGGTGGTGGGTCCTCGTTGGAAACAGGAAATTCCATGCAAATTTTCAACTGTCTAAATATTGGCTCCCCTGTTGATTTTTTATTAAGAAAATATTTTCAATTTAAGAAAAATTGCATTTATTTTTAAATTAAAATTGAATAACAATGCAAAACAAACTATTTTCTATGCAAAATAAATCCAAAATAATAATCCACAGTCAACATACTTTTAAAGTAGGAGTTGATTTAAGAGGCAAATTAGGCTTAAATTAGGCTAGGAAGATAATTCCCGCATTATAGCATTTTATCATGACGATTTTTCCCAATTGTTTAACTCTATGTTAACTTAACCATTGTTAACTAATCTTTCAAATAGAAGTGATATAGTATTATGTTAAAAAATAGTAGGTTTAGTCGTGACGGACTAAGTTAAGAAAAAACTCAAAATTTAAGTGAGGATGCAGTCAATAATCACCACACAGGCTAATAAAACTACTTTTTCAAATTTGTCAAGCTTTCGAGAATTTTATTCCTGCATCCTCACTTAAAGTTTGAGTTTTTTTGTATTATATTAATGTAAATGTGTGTACTAGCTTTCCTGGCTTTGCACCATAGTCATTTCTGTCACTTTCCATAATTTTGGAATATTTTCTACAGTCTACAGTTTATAGCCTTTAGCATATTGGTAATTTTCTTATATGATAGGTCTTTCATCCTAACCAGAGAAATAGAAGGGATAGAGAATGAGCGTCAACATGCGCAGAAGGTCTAATCAAGTTGGGCGCCATATTCCAGGTCTTCCTGTCATTTTGTATATAGGTGGTAATCTATAAGTAATCAAATATCAATTTGCTGTTTTCAACCATACGGGGGGCAATTTAAATTTAGTGAAATTCTTCAAGTGGCTGAAAAATATGTTCTAGATGTAAACTGTTGTGCATTTTTTACACTTCTGTTGCATAGTTATGCAGGGTGTCTCAGAAATAAGCGCAAGTATTTTAAATGGTAGTATAATAGTTCGACCCTAGAAACACCCACCCCACATGTTGAAAATTTTATATTTTTCTTGCCATTTTCCGGAAAATCTTGAAAAACTTTTGGGTGCCACTGTTCATTCTCCGTAAACAAAGCCGGCGGTCCTCAAAATGTTGCCATTTTTTTAGTTTTCAAAGTTACACTGTTATTTTCAATTTATTTCAAAAATGGTAAAGAGAAAATCCTATACCCCCTTACCAACCCCCCACCCCCACCAAAAACTAATGGCCAGATTCTCGGGTGCCTACAGTATTTTTGTGCCAAATTTGGTTAAAATCGGTTCAGCGGTTTTTGAGTTATCGTGTTACAGACGGCAGACAGACAGACAGACAGACAGACACCACGAAAATATTTTGTATTTAGGTCATTTATGACCCAAATAACTCATTTTGAGTGAAATTAAAAAAGCTTTTTTTTGCCGATCCTAATAGCCTACCATATCTATTGGTATGGTCGGCTAATAAAATTTACATTTTGAAGTAAAATGACAAACATATGGCGCTATTATACTTTCTTTCATTGTACAGACTTATTTGGGCAAATAAAAATAAATAATCAAAATAATAATTTTAAAACCATTTAATTGTATACGGTTATTCTACACGATATTACAAGGTTCTATAATAATTTAGGTTTTAGACGAAATATCCGTTTTACCTAAAATCTAAGTACGGTTCTAGACGTTCAAAATAGTATATTCAAAAACAGTCTACTAGTTATACATACAATTAAATCAGATTAACTTATATGGGCTATACTTAAACCACATTTATACTTATTATTTACGTTATTATGAATACATATTTACAAGTATATATATTTAAAAATGTCTATTTACATATATACAAAGTGAGGTACGAGTTAAAACTTAAGACTAAAAATAATATAAAATATAACAAAAATACAACCACAATTATACATACATAAATCAAAATTAACAAGTAACAATAAAAAACACACAAACAGTATTTTCGATAAAAAAGAATAATAAGAGTCTATAAAGTTATGTAGAGGAACTTGTAAAGTTAAAAAAGTCTGTAAAAAATACAGTCACAAGGAAAGTAAAGTCAGTCCATTATTTGTTACCACATTCTTTAGGATTCATTCTTGCTAGTAGCCTTTTCAACGTCCTACCCTTGACTTTTTCTTTCAAAGTCATCCAGTTGACTTTTGTCCAAGGACATTTTGACCGAGTCATCTATTGTTATTGAACTATTAATTAATATTATTAAAACACTGGGATGCTTATCACTTGAATTTTTACTACTTCAATCATCCAAAATATTAGCCTGAATAAAAACTCATTAAGTGATTATTTGAACTGTTTTTTTGGCAACACCATTCTACTTATTTACATATTAAAATAAGACTATTTATACCCATGAAAAAAATACACTTTTAATTATGAGTATTTCAAAGTCTACTAATGCCTTAAGGATATATAATATGTTATATAGAACTGTATTGCACTAAAATTCCTAAAGAACTAGGTAATACAGAACCACTAAATAAGTAGTATCAAACTTTCAGACCTGCATAAAACTGATATCATAAGTTTATGTTGTTTTTTCTCTAAGAGGTAACCATAAATTTTGTGCAATAAAACAAAGTTTTCAGCAATCTAAAAATCTGAGACTTGCAACTTAACAGACCTGAGTAATGTTTCCCCTGACTATTGCTAGGCAGAAAAAAATTAAAATAGTTTGAACAATCAAATTATAGGTTATTAAATAATAACATTTATTTATACATTCAGTCGCGGTCACCTTTCTTAACTACAATGTCTAAAAATATATTTAAAATTTATAATTATCACATATTTTTCAATATTTACAGAGAATTGGAGAAGATATCCGACTCCTACGCGGGTATTTCCTTCTTTTCGATAATGCGTTGGTCCATAATAGCCGGTTTAATGTTTGGAGTTTCTTTTGGCACCGGGCTATTATTAGAGCTCGAACTTACCGTCTGAGTTTGCGGTTTCTGAGGTACGTCTTTCTTTTCTGTACTGTCAGTAGACGTAACATTCTGATTGGCGCTTAATCTATTCTGATTCAATAAGCTAGGATTGATAATAGTTCTGATGTTTTTATTCGGATTAGGCCTCAGACTTCGGATCTGAGTGTTCATAGGCCTGAATTTTTGGATTTCGTTTAAATTTGGCGGCATTCGACTGACACCCGGGTTTCTAATGCCAGCCGAGGATTGTTGTATAAGAGTTTTGTTAATAGTTTGCAAATTGGGTACTTGCGGCCTATTAGGTTTGGACATAGTCGAACTAACTTTGCTAATCGAGGATTGTTCGGTGGCAACTTTAGATAGCATTTGCAAGTTTGATAGTTGTATGTTCTTTGTTTCTGGAGTATTTCGACCTGGAGAATTTCCAGGCCTCGCAATTCCGATCTGCCTATTGAGCCCATTAATGGGTTCAGTTTTGGGTGTGGACCGAGGCGAATTATACGTCGGTGGAGACTTGTTTGATTTGGACAAGTCCAAGACTCCGTTATTATCGCGCCTTTCCGGGATTTTTGATAGAATACTAACCCCAGACTTTAAATGCTCAGCATTTCTTATTTTCTCTAAAGGTATAGTTCCAGGTAGTGGCCTTTTAGCGACGGGTTTTGTTTCTGTTTTAGTTGGAGTCGTGGAAGTAGGTTGGATTAAAGTAATTTCTAAACTGGGACGTTTATCCGAAATTTCATTTTGCTCGGATTTTCGTTTAGCACCACTATCAATCTTTCGAACGGTAAAACTTGAGGGATATTGCGGTGATAATATTTTGGATTTCTCATTTACAAATGTAGCTTTCTTTTCAGATTTTCCATTATCAACGCGAATGTTATTTGCAACGGTATTTTTAGTTTCTATTGTACATCGTTCTTGTAAACTTGCAATTTTTCGGTCCAACGATTCATTATTAGTACTAATACTTCCGATAGGAAGTACTTTACTAGGTGTTATTGTAGAAGTAGTTTTTGCAATTTCATTCTTGTTCTGACCGACCTTCTGGTCGTGGGAGTATTTTTCGGTCGAAGTTGTAGCTGACTTAAGAAATGTCTTTTGAATATGGGAATCGGATTTCTCCATCTGCGTTGCAGTAACTTTTGAGGTCTTTTCTTTCTGAACAATTTTTGTTGATTCTGGTCTAGGAACAGGCCTAGCAATAGTAAGCGTGGGCCTAGAATTCACAGCATCGCTTATTTTAGATACGGGTTTAATGATCATCGGTTCAATCCTCTGTTTAATTTGAGATTCCTTATAATTGTTGTTTTCGATTGTTTTGTTAATTTTTTGAGATTCGTTATTCACTTTAGGATTTTCTCTTTTCTTTTTCGGCACCGGTTCTCCTAAAGAGTATTTATTGTTTTCCGAAACCACTTCCTTTTTATCCGTATACAATTTAGGTATTTTTATAATCGCTTTCATCGGTTGGAATTTCTCGTCTCCTGAACCCGATAGGTGTTTGTGTCGTACTTGCCTCATCTGAAGTAATTTCTCCTTGTTGCTGATCTGAGACTTGTCATTGCTTTCGATTTTATGATGTTTGTGCTTATGGCCGTTTGTTGTGATTTTAACTTTCAGTTTGAGATCGGTTTTATCGTTGTTTGTGATCTCGGCGTGGATTTTGTCCCCGTGAACTTTTCTTCTTTTTTCTTTGTGGCCGTTCGATTCGTTTTTTGAATGCTTGCTCTTTTTTCGTTTCTTGCTCGAGTAGTAATCTTTAGAGTATACTTCTATTTCCGGCCTCGTCTCTTCTTCGAGTTTCTTTTGAAGCGCCCACTCTCTATCTCTCTTTTCGGCAAATCGTTTTATTTCTTCCTGATCGGGTTCTTCGTACTCAAACACGCATTCTTTAATAATCTTTTCAGCTGCTAATGCTTTTTTCAATTCAGCATTCTGCAAAGCTTTAGATTTACTTTGTAGTCGTAAATGCGCAAACAGTCTTTCCTTATCCTCTTGTTCGCTCGCAGTTTCTTTCGGTGGAGACATCGATTCGACTTTTTCTTCTGCTTTCTCAATTTTTGGAGATTTGGCGATGGCTGATGTCGTGTCTGCATTGACGTTATTGACGTTCACAACAGGAACAATTTGAAGTTGTTTTCCTCCAGTAGAAAGTGTAGTGTTCACTATTTTGATTGGTCTCACCTTCATCGGCGTGAAGATGCGGTAGAAGAACCTCATTGGATTTATCTGTAAATAAAAAAAAAGTTACATAAATATCTATTGATTTTTTTATTGTTTTTAATCATTTTTTAAGAGATTCTATTTATCAAGTACATACATAAAAAAATAATTAATTAGAAGAAAATGTGACAGCCGAAGGTGATTAATATCAAATAGTTAGATAGTTAATTAAGAGCTTCCTATGAAACCGTAGTTTCGACAACTAACACCTCTGGTAGATGATTAATTAATTTTTACTGAGGGGCAACTTGTGCCCTGCCTCGCTGGGATGTCAACGTGGTTGACGTATTAATTCCGTAGCAGGTAGAAACGTTTCCATTCATTCTTTTCTTTTACTATGCTACCATTTATGTAACTCTTAAATAATACGAACGTTTATGTTTTGATTTTATGCACTGAAAAAAAGACATATAAAAAAGAAAAACTACAACAATTAGGCTTAGATTTTTGTAAACATAATATGAAACCCAATTGTTGTGGTGGTTATTATTTTTCCCCAACTCAGTTTACAGTAGTGCCTAGTAACAGCAAACTGTGTCAAAAAATGTAGTTAGAACTAGAAGTGCTACAATTTGTAATAATGATTTTCATTTTTTATTTAAATTTTAATAACTACAATCTGAATCTTCTCCGATATTGTGAGAATTACCACCATTACATTATTACAAATTATTTTTTCCGTGTGGTTATCTTTAACCAGAAATGATTTGGATTTAAATTAGAGAAAATATCATTAAAAAGTTGTAGACTATCATTTTTTACATAAAAAATAAGTAAAATGCCTTTTCATCCCTAAATGTATGTATCTACAATAAAGTAAAAAACTTAATTTGATGTAATAAAGAAAAAATGCGGAATCGTATACATGGAGTAATGGCAAATAAACGCCAAACTAAGCAAAACTGTACGTTCAGTCCGACAATAGTGAAGCAAGTTTTAGTTCAACAACCTACGACTGACTATCTCTTCTCTGTTTACAGTCTGTCGGCACTTTGCATTAGAAATGGTTTGACGGTCGTTCTGTCGTTATTGTCTGTCTAGCTTTCTTTTTTTCTTTATATATTTGTTTCATTAGATACAGTTAAGAGTTTTTACTAGGTTTTTACTGTCCATCCCATGAAACATGGTCCTTAAGTAGGTATATGAAGAGGAGATCGTATTTATATTTCAATTTAGCTTTTCTTTACTTATCGATCGTTAAGCAAAATTTAATTGACAAATTATTATTTGACAAAGTATACAGGGTGGTCCGAACTGTATTCCGGAAACTTTAGCAGCATATTCTGCAGATAAAAATAAGTATAAAAGTTTGTATAAATGTATATGTCTTAAAATGCTTAGTTTCAGAGATACAGGGTGTATTATTTCGATTTTTTCCAAATAATTTATGAAGGAACGTCAATATTTGGATGAAAATTGGTTTCTGGGAGTTTTTGACATGAGAAATTTGATTTTGATGTCAATATGACTACTACTTGTAGAGGGCGCCACCTACATAGTTTTAGCTGGTTTGAAGAGTAATAACTTTTCGTCCGTACCTGTATAAAACCACTGAGTAAAAGATATATATTTACGACGTTTTCTTTTTACGTAAAAAAGATCTCCCGGTAAAAATCGCTACCAGTAATTATTTTCGAGATATTTGGAATGGAGATTATCAATAGATATCTGTCATCATTGACATTGACATAAATTAAACATGTTGACTAAATAGTTATTAGACTGAAATCATAAATTTGAAATGTTTTTGTGTCAAAAATTCAACAGGAACTGTTCTATCATAATTTATTCGCAGAAAAATTTATGATTAATTTAAAAGGATAAACATTTCCCAAATTTATTATTTCAGTCAAATAACTATCTATTCAACGTGTTAATTTTTTGTCAATAATAACATGTAGGTATTGACTAATTCCATTCTAAATATCTTGAAAACGGTTGCTCGTAACGATTTTTACCAAGAGGCATTTTTTACGTAAAATGTCACGAAAATGTATATTTTTTCACTCAGTAGTTTTTACAGGTATACGGACGAAAGTTATTACTCTTCAAAACTGTTAAAACACATGTAGGTGGCGCCCCCTACAAATAGGAGTCATATTGACATCTAAAACAAGTTTCTCATATCACAAAAATTCCCAGACACCAATTTTTATTCAAATATTGACGCTACTTCAGAAATTATTTGAAAAATATCGAAATAAAAATGAAACTTCTACACCCTGTATCTCCAAAACTAAGCATTTTAGGACACACATTTATATGAACTTTTTTACTTATTTTTATCTGCAGAATATGCTGCCGAAGTTTTCGGAATACAGTTCGGACCACCCTGTATATTAAAACACTTTTATTACTTATCAACTACAGAGAGTTAATATCTCTCAAAATAACAATTAAGCTTGGAACTTTTAATTTAAGTCCGAAATTATTTTTTTTTCTACCACATTCATAGTAATCAAAATTATTTAAAGTTAAATTGTCTTATTATAGCGTGCTTAGATAAGTTTTGCGCTATTCGTACCGTATGTATATCTACGAGTGCGAACTAATCTAAAAATAGTACGAAAAATGTCCGTATGTCGCGAACTTCTGAGGTCAGCCCGGCCTATTTCCAGAGGCGCGCGCGCTCAAAAAATGTGCCGATATTTTTAGACGTATACTTAGATTATAAAACATTTATGTATGACCAATAACTAAAGCTAGACTATCATCATGAACACACCTATAAAATAGTGCTATTTTTTTGTAATGGCACTGTCATTGAAAAGTCATTTATTACTGTTTGTTGGCAGTTAGGTACTCCAGCAAGGATGGTTTTAAGTCCAGAAGTTGATCTCTTGAAATGAAGCCTGCGAAGAATATATGTATTTAGGGGTAAAAATCGCATGCAAAGGGAGATGCGAAAAGAAAATCGAAGAACGGATTGGTAGAGGCAGAAAGGTGATAAAAGCGCTAAACTTGGTGCTTTGGTCTAGGGATATCTCGGATCACAGAACAAAACTTATCTATAACGCGATTCTGAATAGCGTAATGTTATATGGCTCTGAGGTATAACAGTTAAGCGAAAGACATAAAAAGAAGTTGTTGTCGACCGAAATGGACTTCTGGCGAAGCTCAGCTCGAATCTCCCGTTTAGACAGAATTAGGAACGAGAGAATACGTGAAAAAATGAAGGTACGGCCATGTACAACGAATGGCTGACGACAGAATACCAAAGCAAGTATTATAGTGGACACCTACAGACAGACATAAACGAGATCGACCTAAACTTTCATGGCATGTCGGAGTATACAGTACAATACAGTTGATCTCTATCTCTACCACCGTTGATTGAAAGAATTGGGAAGATACGCAACCTAATGGGCGAATTCGTGGCAAGGCTGATTTTATTTCCCCTTACGTCCCAAGTGCTGTACGGTGGAGACACCAATCGTTCTGCGGTCAACGCTTAAAACACTTATTTTCTCTAATTCGGCTAAATTTATGTATTGAAAATTTATTCGTGTTAAACATAGCATAAACAACAAAAATAAAAATTCTATAACAGACATTTTTTTACTCCAAAAACGGTTAATGTTAGGTTAAGAGTGTTTGATGTCAAAATTCATAAAATTTTACAGGGAATTTAAGTATGTAATAAAACAAGAAAGCTGGCTGTCAACTTCCGGTATTTCCGGAAGTGACGTCATATTGAAAAAATGGCGCCATATTGAAAATATGTCGCCGGCAACTACTCACTCTGTCGACTGAAAGCAGAACTACTGCAGTAAGGATAGGATATGTACAGTAATCCTTATCCGCTGCGCTCTGCGCTGTAAATGATTATCAGGGCGGCGCGGCGCAAAACTAAACTAAATCTCGGAATTTTCGGACAGGCTGACGGTAACGCCAGCTACATCTCGGACAGGTTTAGTACCACAAAATTACCCATAAGGCTGCGCAACTTCTTATTTTTTCAATCAACGCTGTCACGTTCAATTAAAGTTACAATAGCCGATACAATTTATGGACTTAAAACAATCTCTACTAGAATAACTATCAACAAGCAATAGTAATGTGACTTTAATAATAATTTTTATGACATTAAGATAAGTAAAAAATAAACTATCGAGAAAAGATACTTCTTCTTCGGGTTCCATCTCCTAATGGAGGTTTGAAATCATCATGGCAATTCTAACTTTGTTAACGGCTGCTCTGAATAACTGGTTTGAAGTCATTCCAAACCATTCTCTCAAATTTTTGAGCCATGATGTTCTTCTTCTTCCTTGGCTCCGTCTGCCCTTTATCTTTCCTTCTATTATGTTCTGCAGCAGGGCATAAATATGCCTCGGTCCTCTCACTATGTGTCCAAAGAGTCCAAAGTACTCAAGTTTTTTCTTTTTAAGGGTGTTAATCACCTCTTCGTCCTTCTGAATTCTGCGTCGCAGTTCTACATTTGTACCTTGTCAGTCCATGCAATCCTCAGCATACGCCGATAATACCATTTTTCGAATGCCTCAAGCTTCTCCATTTCGGCCTTTTTAAGTGTCCGAGCCTCTGAACCATAGAGTAGAGTTGCAAATATGTAACCCCTTAGCATTCTTAATTTAAGCTTTAAGTTGATGTCTCCACTGCAGATACATTTATTTGAGTTTTACAGGATGCTCTGGCTATTTCTATTCGAGATTTTATTTCTGCTGATTGATCCAAGTTTTCGGTCAACCAACTACCTAGAAAAGATTCTTCTTCTCGTCCGTTAACTCTCGAAAGAGTATGGTGACATCATGTCTCAATTGCTCGGATCGTTGTTCTCCATCCATCTCTATCTTGAGCGGCTATAGAAGCCTCTTGCCGGCCGTGACCAATAATTGTTTTGGTTTGGTCCACCCAGCGCGTCGGAGATCTTCCCCTTGGTCGTTTGCCATTAATCTTCCCTTCGATTATGATTTTTTCTAGTCCATCTGTTCTTCTCGAAATGTGCCCGAAGTACCTAAGGTATGAATGGTTTATTTTGGTTGAGTGTC